ATCCCCCTGGCTCCCCCCGGGCCGCGCCGCGCCGCGAGCCTCTCCGCACCGGGACGATTCTGTCTCCCTTTTGTCTCTCTCTGTCTGTCTGCCTCCCTCTCTCTCTCCCCGTCCCTCTCGGTCTGTCCCTTTCTTTCTGTTTCTCCGTGTGGAGTTTCCCTGGGTTTGCGCCTCTGCCTGTATGTTTCTGTGTCTCCGCATCCCGCCCCGCACGGGGGTCTCTCCGTGTGTCTGCGTGTCTCCCTGGCCGCTCGCCCTCAGATTCAGACAAGCACCCGGGGTCGGAGTAGTCGCAGTGGTTCCTAGACCCTGTACCAGAAACCAAACCCTCCCCCTGCCTCCCGCCTGCCCCTAGGGCCTGGCCGGGGTCATCCCCCTGGAACCGAGTCTGGGGCAGGGGGAGCCAGCCTTTCCGGGGGGCTCCGTTTTCTTAAGAGTTCCACCCCCGCGAGGCGGCCTGGACCACAGCGCCCCGCGGCCGGCCACCTGCCCGCCTGCTCCCTGGGCGGGGCGGTTCTGATCTTTTACGAGCAGCCGGACGGGGCAGCTGCCTGCCTGCCTTGGGGCGGCCAGGGGGCTGGCGGGCACCAGGGGAGAAGTGCACATTTCAGACTTTCTGAGGCCCTCGGCCAGCTGGAGGACACCAGCCTGTAAGTGAGGGACCGCCCCCCCCTCCTCGGAAAACAGAGGTCAGGGCCTGAGGCCAAAGTCCGGGCCCTCAGGAGATGGGGGTGAGGAAGCAATTTGTCAACAGGCCCCTCATCCTTTGTTACTGTCAAACTGCCCGCCTCCCGAAACTTCCCCAGATGCTGGGGCTGCTGGGGTGTGATTTGCCTTTAGTTGGAGACCAAAGAAAAGGTGAAGCTGGAGCATTTGCTTGGGACGCCCCCCCCCCTCCACATCCCCCCGCTTCCCTCCCCCCCCACCTTTGCAAGCTTTCTCCTGGGCCTGTGGGCCCGAGGGGTGGATGGGGGTGTAGGTGCTCTACGTTGGCTACAGATCTATCCTCATTCTTTTAAAGTGAAACCTCAGACTGAGTTTAGCCCCTTCCCCCAACCCCCAACCCCAAGGGTCGGAGGCTGGGGAGCCGGCGGGGATGCTGGCGAGGTCTGCAGGGGGACTTCTGCTGAGCAGATGTGCAGGCCGGTCCTGCAGCCGCTCATTAGCATAGATTTGTTTTGGAGACAGCTTTGGGTCTTCCGGCTGGAGGGTCTTTGGGGCGGGAGGGCCCTGGCCTGGGCTGGGGGTTTGTAGCCAGGAAGGTGGAGCTGCCTGGCAGAGACGGGCCAACCTTTGGGGCCTGGGCTGGGCCCTGGGTGTCAGCCCCCTGGACAGTTGGTTCATGCTCTGCCAGCGCGCTGACGGAGGAGGAAGGAAGCCACCCTGCGGTGAGACCGGGTCGTGGGATCACAGTGGCTTTAACAATGCTCGGGCCGATTCCCTGTGAGGGAATCTGCTAAAGTGGACATTCCCAGGCTTGCGCTCCCTGTTTTGCAGACGTGAGGCTGAGGGAGGTGAAACAAGTGGCCTGGGCCGGAACCAATAGATTATCCTGCCTCCAGGCACACAGGGAGCCAGGAGATGAGCTTGGGCCTGACGGTGCCCTGGACCCCAGAGCGGGCCTGGGAAAGCCCGCTGAGCTGACCAGGGCTGGGTCTGGCACTGCCTGGCCCCTCCCAGAGTGACCTTTGCCGTTGCACCCTTCAAGGAAGTCCCTGCACTCAGTCCAAGACCTGCAGTGATGGCCGCGCCCTTGCTGATCCCCGAGCCCAAGGCCACAAACGCCACACCCTCTGCACCCAGCAGCCAGCACAGCCTGGCAGCCAGGCCCAGCCCCGTTTTCTGCAAGTTGGATTCTAGAGGGGGCTGGTCTCTCCTGGACCCTTTCCCTTCAGTCCGTGGCCCAAGAATCAGAGTCTGAGTGGGGTCTTCCTCTGGGCTCCCACCCTGGCAAGCGAGTGTGTGAGGGGGACAGGACTCAGTTTATTAAATCCTTTCCCGGCCATCCCCTCATTTGCTTGAGTCTCCCCTCGAGGCTTCCCCTCATGGCTGTGGCAGGTGCAACCCCGGATTTGCATATTTTCTGCATATTTTCGGGACCACCCAGAACCTGGTGGAGGGAGTGGGGAGGAGAGGGTGAGGGGGGATCCTGTGGGAGGCAGAGGGACGGGCATGGGCAGAGTTCAGGGAGGATGAGTGGCCCAGGGAGATGCCGAACTGGCACTAACAGTGACGTTTTCTGAGGACTGATCCCAGGACAGGGCCCTCCAGAGGTTTCCATGCACAACTGCCCTGTGAGGTGGGTATTATCACTGCCCACCTTGGCAGATGAGGAAGTCGCTGCAGAGAGAGGTTAAAGTGGCTGAGCTAGGATGGAACTCGGGTCTGTCACAGTCCGCAGTGGAGAATGGAGGAGACCCAGACCCTGCTGAGGGCAGGGGGGTGGGGGGGGCGGGGTAAGGAGGCAGGGAGAGACAGAGGCAGAGACAGACAGGCTGGCTTGGGTTAATGGGTCCTTTCTATCCAGAAAATCCTGGTGTTCTTGGCCCTAAGTGACCCTGAATATTTAGATTTACCCCAAAGAGGAAATGGGGAGCGATTGTCGCTTGTTATACAAATGGACTCTGCTCCACAAAGAGCTTCACAGTGGGTGTCGGGCCCAGGTCTCCCATGAAATCTGGCCCCTCCTGTGAATTTAAGACTTGATTCCAGGCTCTGGGATCCAGGCCGTGGTGTAGGCCTCAGAATCACGGGGGAGCCCATGCAGATGCCTGGGCTGCGCCCCAGACCTGTGGAGTCAGGAAGTCCAGGCCTGGGACAGGCCTCTCGGGGAAGAGGTGAGGTTCTGGGCAGTGTGGACACCTAGAGGACCCCACAGTCCTGACCCGAGGCCTGTGTTCTTGCCGACCCCCACCCTCAGCCCTCCTGCGGGAGCCGTGAAAGCGGGTTTCCTGTTTATCCACTGAGCTCTTCCCGTGTGGGAGGTGTGGCGGCCACTTTCTTGGTCTGTGCCTCAGTTGGCACTGAGCTGGAATGGATCAGCAGTGTGCCCCCGGGGAACGTCCTTCCTGTGCTGTTGGGCGCCTCAGAATGTGTGGAGTGTTTGCCCGAGGCCGAGGGTCTGAAGGGCTTGGATTTGGGAGTGGACAATGAGATGGTAAAGGCCACCCCCTGGGTTTGGGTGCCCTCGGTGAAGCCTCTCCTCAACTCCGAGGAAAGGCAGTACCAAGGCTCCCAGGAGCAGGGGCCGGCCGAGGCCATGACTGAAGCCTCTCCTCAACTCCGAGGAAAGGCAGTACCATACCCAAGGCTCCCAGGAGCAGGGGCCGGCCGAGGCCATGAGCTTGTCTGCAGGGGAGTCAGGTGTGGGGTGTGAACCCTGTTTGAAGGGGCCCCCAAGATTCCTGCCCAGACAGTGGCCAAACACCAGAGTGGGAGACGCAGGCTGACCAGGGATGAGAGACAGCGGCTGGGCCAGGGGAGGGCAGGGAGCCCCAGGCCTCAGGCCCACTCCAGACTATTCCCCAGATTCCCGGCCGGCTTCTTCGTTTCCTGCTTCCTCTTCTGTGACCCTTTGCGTGTGCGAAGGTGGCTGGTGGTTCCCCTGCTGCTGTCAGGTTCAACAGTTCTATGTACGACCTGCGGGTTCTAACTGTGGACAGGCAGTGTTCTAAGCATATAGATTCATTTATTCAGTCCTCATGACTGAGGCATTGAGGGTAGTTGTAAATAGTAGATGTCACTTGTTTACTGCTTACTTTCTAGTAAATCTTGAGCAAATCTCTTAACCTCTCTGTGACTCAGTTTCTTCATCTCTAAAATGAGGAAAACAAGGGTCTCTACCACCTAGGCTTGTTGTAAGGACTGATACATGAATTGATGTAAAAGCACCTAGAACAGTGCCAGTCAATACAGTTAGCCGTGTGGGCTGACGATAAATCCCCTTTCCTGGCCTTTGCTCAGGCAGGGCCCTCAGCCAGGAGCTCCCTTCCTGTCCTCACCGTTGATAACTAATTGTGATTCTGTATTAAATCCAGAATTAAGAATCTCTACTCCTGCCCTGGCCAGGGTTGCTAAGTGGTTAGAGCATCCGCCTGCTCACTGAAGGGTTTGATTCCGGTCAAGGGCAAGTACCTGGATTTTGAGTTCGATCCTCCTCTCCCCACCTCGTCAGTCGATGTGTGTCTTTTTAAAAAAAATTCTTTATTGTTGAAAGTATTACATTATGTTTCCTTTTCACTGCCCTGGTCAGGGCATGTGTGGGAGGCAACCGACCAATGTGTCTCTCTCACATCACATCAATGTTTCTCTCTCTCTCTCTCCCCCTCCCTCCCTCTACTCTCTCTGAAAAGCAATGGAAAGAATATCCTCAGGTGAGGATTAACAAAGTAAATGAAAAATAATCTCTACTTCCTGCCCCCACAGCCCTCTCTGACTGCCCCTACTTTAGACAACTTCCTCTTAACCCACTCCCCTCCCCTCCCCTCCTTCTCTGGGCTTCGAGCTCCTGAGTGGGCCCAGGGTCTGGGACCCCAGCTCCCCTGCCCATACCCCCGCCTCCTAGAAGTTGCTCAGTAAATGAGTGTGGACTGCAGGGAACCGCATGGCTCAGGGGAAGGGCATTGTTTGGCCTGACTTGCTGGGGGGCCTGGGGGCCAGTGGGGCTCCCCTTCCCGCCTGGTATTCTGAGGGCCCCTTGACTTGCTGTGTGACCTTCAGGGTGGGGAGGAAAGTCTATATAAAAAAGAGTAGTTGAGTTGCTGCTTGAAAAAAGCATAAACCAACAAAAAATTAAACCTGCCAGCAAAGAGCCCACCCCAGTCAGTGTGAAGGGGGGGCAGTGGGAGTTCTTGGTGGTGGGTGTGAGGGCAGGAGGAGGGTGGGGGTGTCCTGATGACCGACATGTCTGGGAGTGAGTGGCCTGGCGCCCTCCCCGCCTCCTATTCCAGCGCTGAGCTTTGGCTCCAATGCCCGCCCAGCCTTTCCCATGATCCCCCAGGGGAAGAGGACTGGGTGCCTGCTGGGTACTGGGTGCTTTCCCTGCATCGCCCCAGTTGTTCTCCAAGGAAAGTGCTCTGCTCCCCGTTCTAGGGTTGAGGTCGGTGGGTGCAGAGAGGTGAGCTTTGGCAGCTCCTAGGCTGGAGGGGAGGGAGGGGAGGGCTGGGACTCAGGGAGCTCAGGGCTGCTGAGTGTGGCCCAGGCCCCTCCTCCTGACCAGGGCAGGGAGAGGGTGGGTGACTGTGCCCTTCTGTGGACACAGCTGACCCTTAGGATAAACTCTCAGCTGTGTACTAGGAACGGAGGAAGGTCAGGGAGGTGGCCTTCCCCTCCGTTTATCTCATTTCTCTTCAGCTTCTGCCATTGTGTGACCCTAATCACCAGTCCCCATCCTCTGGGCCAGCGACTTCCCTAAAAGACTCACTGTTATCTCCTAGTAAACCTTGTTATTTGGCCTCAGCCCTGATCTCTACTCACCTTTAGCCTGATCCTGGTCCATAACCTCTCCTCATTCCAACTCCTACTCAGACCCGAGAGCTCATCTCCAGGATTTCATTAAGATCCCAGTCTCCATTCCAGATCCTAAGGAAACGGAATCACTCCCTGTTGCTTGTTCCCTGGCCACACCTGCCCCGACCTTCCTGAGGAATCATGATGGGGTCAGGTACAGGACAGAAGTCCCCGATTTCTCCGAGGTCTCTAGGGGCCGGTCCAGCCCGGGGAAATACAAAAAGGACAAACCAACAAAAAATTAAACTTGCTAAACATTAAACCTCTTCTGGTCGGCCATGGCCAGACCCTGACTCCGGACGGCTAATTCCCTGGGGACGGACGAGCACCATTAGGAGTGAGGACGCCTCCTGGATGCCAAGCCTGTGGAAAAAGTAGCGAGGCTGCCAGTGAGGGAAGAAGTCCATCCTATTTTGTTAGGATGTGGTTATACTAAAAACAGGGACTTTGCTGTCGATCTTGTGAGCGAGACCGGAAGTGTGTGGGTGAGAGCCTGGGCCGTCACAGACTCCTCTGGGATGGGGGCAGACTGTCAGGGCTCACCTCCTCCTGCTCTCCCCACGTCACCCCCTGGAGCTGAGGGGATTTGCTGGATGGAGGAGGTGGCAGCCCTGCAGGCTGGCCGGGCCCTGTCTGTAAGCCCAGCTCAGCCAGTCCACTTAGGCTTTCACTGCAGGAGCAGGCAAGACCTTCCCCCAGCATGACTCCCTCTCCCCTTTCCAGACTCTGTATGAAGTACCTGCCACTTTATTCGGAAAGTGGGCTGACGGTTGTTCTGCATGGGATGTCCAGCTCCGAGCCAGCCCGACTTTAGTGCTGGGTGTCTGTGGGACCAGTGGACGGTACCTGACCCCTGCTCCTGTTTCAGCCCCACCCAGGCCCCCCTGGGGACTGTCCCTGGCGGAAGCACCCCGACTGACTGAGCTGGCCTGGTTCCCACCCTGGCTGCATAGCAGAACCAACCTGGAGTTGTGAGATTGCAGAGCCCCACCCGCCCTAGAACTTCCACTCCACAATCCCCGGGGAATTCTGAGCGTCTACCAGTCTACCAGGCTTGGGAACCGGTGGTCTAGGGCACCTCACTCATCTTACAGGTGGGGACGCTGCTGCCTGAGTGTCCCGGGTCACACCCCATGTGTGGACTCCTGACTGTCCAGCGTCCTTTCCCCAGTGGACCTCCTTGCGGGCATTGCCCTCCTTTCTGAATCTCCACCAAGCCTTCCTCCTCCTCGTTTTTTGAGGCGTGTGCGGGCGGGGGGGATCTTACAGAAGATGAACTTGGGGAACATTGGGAGAGTGCCCTCTGTCCGGATCCTTGGGACACACACTGCCCTGCAGCGCCATCTGCTGGCAAATTCTCGTATTGTCCTGGTGTCTTGCTCCATTCAATTGACAGAGCTGCTCAAGTGCTTGGCTTGGATTGCCTCCTGCTTGTCCCAGGTTTGGGTGGAGCTGGGGATAATGATGTATGTGTGTGTAGACTCAGGGCTCAAGGCTTTGGGGGGTTATCCAAAAAAGAAACACAGTCTAGTTCGGGGTTAATTTTTTTTTTTTACGTGGGGTTCAGTCAGCAAAATGGCCTAAGAGTTCACCGTGACATGAAGATGGAGGTTAGCTTTCTGGACATCAGAATACTGACAGCTATGGCAGCATGTCCAGGAGACATGCTGGATGGCCAGCCCTCGAGGGCATGGCACTGTGTGGGCAGTTTTTCGTGTTTGCCCAGAGGACCCACAACATCAGTGAGGAGGGAGCTAATGATGGCTCAACACTCAACATGTGCTTGAAACTTAGTGTCCCACCGAGTCCCAGCAGCAATCCTTCGCCATGCACAGCATCACCATCCCTTTTTAGACGAAGACGCTGAGGCACAGAGGGAAAAGTACTTTGTTCAAAGCTACCTAGGAAGTTATAAAAATAACTGACATGGAGTGTGTGTTATCTGCTGAGGGCTTTTCGTGTCATGCCGCATTTCATCTTCACGACACCCGTTGGTGTACATACTATGACCAGCCCCAGTTTCGAGGTTCAGAAGGGATAACTTGCCCAAGGTGTGGTTGGTTAGTAAGTGGGAGAGTTAGGATTTGAACCCAGGCAGTCAGATGTCAGAGCTCATGCTTACAACACCACTGCCCCTCACTTGCCAGCGTCCTCAGCCTGGCCGGCCTCACCGCAGTTTGTGCTCAGTTCTAGGGCTCTGAAGGCCACGGGCATGATGCTTCGGGTTCTGGTGGGGGCCGTCCTCCCCGCCATGCTGCTGGCCGCCCCACCGCCCATCAACAAGCTGGCACTGTTTCCGGACAAGAGTGCCTGGTGCGAGGCCAAGAACATCACCCAGATCGTGGGCCACAGCGGCTGTGAGGCCAAGTCCATCCAGAACAGGTGGGGTCCAGGGGCATGGGTGGAGGGGAGGAGGACAGGGGCCCAGGAGGGGGGAGGAGGACGGGGCTGCCCGTCCCTGCCTCTGCCACAGTGATCAGGGCACGGTGACCTCTCCTCCCGCAGAGCGTGCCTGGGACAGTGCTTCAGCTACAGTGTTCCCAACACCTTCCCGCAGTCCACGGAGTCCCTGGTGCACTGCGACTCCTGCATGCCAGCCCAGTCCATGTGGGAGATTGTGAGTACGGCTGCCCGCCCCTGCCCAGCCTGCCATGCCCCACAAAGCCCGGCGTGGTCTGGCTCGCCTGTCTTTCTAGCTTCACCTTCTCTCACCTTCTTCACTGGCTTGACACCTGACACCAGCTCACCTCCTTTCAGTCTCCAACACCTGCTTGGGTGGTCACCATCACAGGGCCTTCTGCACATGCTCTTTGTGGGAACACCTTTCTCCTCCTGGCCTGGTTAACGTCTGTTCATCCTTCCGCTCTTAGCTCTAGCATCATTTTCCCAGGGCCCCTGTCCTGAGCCCCCGAGCTCTGTGTGTCTCTGCTTTGAGCATCCGTCACAGCCTCCGTTTTTCATCTGCATTTGGGTGATGTTGACGAGTCTGTTTCCCACACTGGACTCTGAGTTCCTCGAGGGACTATCCTTGAGTCCCCAGAACTGGCATGGAGTTGAAGGAGGGAGGGGAAGAAAAGGAAGGAAGGAACTAGCGGGGACAAGATGCTAAAAGGGTTCCTATAGGGCAAACCTCAGCTAGGCTGGTGGTTCCGGGGTGAGGGAGCTCTTGGAGGAAGTGAGGTCTGAGCTCAGACCCAGAGGTTGAGTAGACGGTACCTGGGCAATGTTTGGGGCAGGTGGTGGGGATGGGTTGGATGAGGACCTCCCAGGCAGAGGGAACAGCATGTGCAAAGTCTCGTGCAGATCAGTCAGCACAGTTGGTGGGAGTGGCGCAAAGTCAGGGGTGGAGAGTTCGCCGGGGGCAGCCTGAAGGGCCGGGGTGGCCTTAGTGAGAAGCCAGGATTTTCCTCCAAGTGCCGGGGGGAGCACTGAGGGGAATTGAGTCAGGGGCAGGCCACATTGGATTTTGTCCCTCAGGGGGGCCCTCTAGCTGATGGGAGGGGATGGAGAGGAAGGCGGTAGGGCTGGGTGTGGGGAGACAAGTCAGATGGCATCTGCAGGGACTCTCCCCTTCCCTCCTGGATGGGCCCGCAGAGCTAACTGGGGTCTCACAGGTGGGCTCAGATTCCAAGTCTCTAGGATTCCTGGGCCCACGAGGATGTGTGACGCCTGAGGCCGCCCTGCCCGCCTCGGACCGTCGCTCTGCTGCCCTCCCCAGGTGACGCTGGAGTGCCCCGGCCACGAGGAGGTGCCCAGGGTGGACAAGCTGGTGGAGAAGATCCTGCACTGCAGCTGCCAGGCGTGTGGCAAGGAGCCGAGTCACGAGGGGCTGAGTGTCTACGTGCAGGGCGAGGACGGCCCGGGCTCCCCGCCCGGCACCCATCCCCACCCCCATCCTCACCTCCACCCCGGTGGGCAGACCCCTGAGCCCGAGGAACCCCCTGGGGCCCCCCACACCGAGGAGGAGGGGGCTGAGGACTGAGGCCCTTGACTCTTCCTCCCCGCTTGTCCCCCGTGGAATGCTGGGAGAAGTGTGTGGGGAGAGGCTGAAGCCCCCCTTTGGCACTGGATGGACTTGGATTCAGACTTGGACTTGGAATGCTTCCCGGTTGCCATGGAGATCTGAAGGGAGGGGCTGGAGCCAAGCTGCACAATTTAATATATTCAAGAGTGGGGGGAGGACTCTTCTTCGGAGGGGGGTTCTCTTCCTTTCTGCCTCCTGGAGATGTGCCCCTGGGAGGGGGAGAGAGTTGGCTAAGCTGCTGAGGTGGGGGTGAGGCCATGCAGATGGCAGGAGCCAGGCTAAGGCCCGTGTGGCCTCTGGCAGGGCAGGGCCCTTGGGGACAAGGGTGGAGCTGGGCCCTGAGCGGAGGGTGGGTCTCTTGCCGCAGTGGCCCTGAAGGAGGGGCTGGGTCTGGGCGGGGAAGGCCACGGCAGAAGCAGGGAGCTCCAGCCCCACCGGCTTCCCCAGGGCCTCCCACCCACTCCCGTGCCCAGGGCAGCTTCTCCCCGTGCACTGAAGTGGCTCTCCCCCCATGGCTGGGAGTCAGGCCTGGGCAGGACCCTGCTGACTCATGGCCCTGGAGTCAGGGCCAGGCTCTTTGGGCCTCTGGCTTTCTTGGCTTTCCAGGGGTCGGAGGGAGGCAGGGAGGCGGCTTCCCAGGCCAGGGGGTGGGAGTGACCCCCAGCCTGTCAGCAGAAGAGCATCCCTCCCTCCTTTTCTCTGAGATCTTTGTGCCTCCACTGCCCCTAAGTTCTAGAGCCCTCAGAAAGCTGATGAGACAGCCTCACCCTGTTGGGGGAACTCTTTCTAAAGCCCTGGTGGTGGGGAGGGGTCTCCCTTACTCAGATTCCAAGGAGGGACCTGGGTGGGATGGACTGTGGCTGGGCCTCAGGGGCGAGGGCTCTTGTGGGCAGTGTTCACTGTGGCTCAGCTGCCTGATCCCAGCGGCCTCCCCCCTCCCGCTGCACTTTAACCCTAGAGGAGGTGCGGGATCCGACCGGGGCAGGCAGGCGGGCAGGGAAGAACTGCCTGTGTCCGCTCTTCTGTCCCCAGCTCTCCTGTCCCCAGCAGCTTCCAGCCCCTCCGGCCCCCTGTCTGAGGGCACCCTGCTCCTCATGGCTGTTCTGACAAGAGCTTCTGGAGCTTGTAACCAGTAGAGTGTCCCCCGACGGACCCTGAGTGTTCTCAGGAATAAATTCGTTCAACGCCCGTGTTCTCTCCCTCACTGGCCGGCTCCGCTGACCCAAGGCTCCTGAGGGGCCCAGCGGTGGGGCCTGAGTAGGCCCTCCTGCATCCTGGTGACCCTCTCACTTTTCTGCCAGGTGCACTGGCCCCCTGGGCCCTGTCACCCCAGCTCCTGTCTCCCTGGGTGCCCGGTTCTGGCCTTGCTTACATCCTTGGTGGGCTTCCCAACTGCTTTTTTGGTTTTGACCCTTGGTCCCTTGGGCTTGCCTCATGCCATCCCTTTTCACCCTCACAGTGACCCAGCATCAGTCCCCGGGACCCCAGCCTGGCCTGGCCCAGGAGAAGGGGAAACAGACAAAACTGGTGCTGTGCTAAACACACACACACACACACACACACACACACACACACACACACACACAAACTGGTGCTGTGCTAAACACACATACACACACTGGTACTGTGCTAAACATGCACACACACACACATACACACACACACACACAAACTGGTGCTGTGCTAAACAGACACACACACACACACACACACACTGGTGCTGTGCTAAACACGCACACACACACGCAAACTGGTGATGTGCTAAACACACACACACAAACAAACACACATGCAAACTGGTGCCGTGCTAAACACACACACACACACACACACAAACTGGTGCTGTGCTAAACACACAAACTGGTGCCGTGTTAAATAATTGACATAAATTACTCACCTATCCTCACCACCACTCTGTGATACAGGTATTGCCCTCATTTTGCAGACGAGGCATGGGAAGTGCAGAGGGGTTAAGTAATGTTCCAGGGTCATGCAGTTAAGAAATGTCACCAATGGGACTCAAATCCAGGCGGTCTGGGCTAATAACTCAGCTCCGTAGGTGCCGGTTCTTAATGACCTGCTGTGGGATGGTCCTGACACCTCACAATGACCCTGTACGTTTGGTAACATTAGCCCCATGGAATTGAGCGTGGGCTCCTCCCCGCCCCCCGCCCCCCTTCCAGTTCGCCATTGGAAGGGGACAGCGTGAGGGCTATGATCTCCTTTCTTCCTCACACACATTGCTGTAACCACTGCATACCAGGCAATTGACATATATTATTTCTAATTCTTGGAAAATGCTCATCTTGCTAATGAGAAAAATGAGGGTCTTAAAGCCCTGGGATTCCGATCTGGCGCTCTCTAGTGACGACTGTTGTATACTACACAGGATTTCCTTAGTGTCCCAAGCCCTTCTTTCATGGCTGCTCCCCGCACTGTAGTGCATGTCATGAATGTCCCAACGCGAGAATGGCACCTCTTGCAGTTGAGCAGGACACAACTTGCATGGTCACCCACAGTGGCCCTGCATCCCTTTGACGTGGAATTGGGTTGGAGAGAAGTATACCTCCTGCATGCAGACTTCAGTGACCCCTCAGACATGGAGGGGCAAGTCCTGGCCATATCAATAGTCTTTCTATGTGGCTGGAGGTGAGAACTCACTCGCGGGTGCAGAGAAAGTCCCGCGGGGCTTCCGAGGACTCAGAGACCAGGTCCAAATGAAAGACCTACTTGGGCTTGGTTTTGGTGCTGGGCCTCAGACCTGAGCACCAGGCTGTGTCTTGGTCAGGAGCTGCCTCCATCCTGTGTATGGAACAAGGCAGAGAATAAATTCATTCATAAACATAAATTAAGCGGCTGCTTGGAAAGAAAGCAGGAAGGTGGGTTGGCGGGGCTGGTGGCAGGCCTGGAGTGCTAGTCAGAGTTCAGACTTCATGCGCTTTGCAGAGAGAGAGCCCTGAAGTGTCTGCGCAGAGCTGAGTTTCAGCAAGAATAGAAGAAGGCTCGTGGGAGGAGGAGGGGGAGGCTGGAGAGCAGCTGGGAACTGCAATAGTTCAGGCCGCAGATGATGGAGGCCAGAGTTAGGCAGGAGCAAAAGTCTGGAAAGGCGGGGTCATACGGCGGAGGCGGGGCCCATGGCTGAGACGCAGCTGATTGGATTTGGGAGCCGCAAGTGGGAGGGGCCAGATTTGAGGGGCCAGAGGCGCGGGGCTAGTTGTGTTAGTTTGCCAATCCGAGTGAGATGTCAAGTAGTGGCTGCCAGTTTTTCTCTTCGCCAACCTCAAACTGAACCACACCAGCCTAGAAAAAAAACCCAAAACTGCAGCTCCCCCACCGCCCCCTCACCGCAGGGGATTAAAATCTTTACAGGGGATTAACACCGGCACACAGCCCTGTCAGCGCAGGCCCCTCTCCGGATGGGCCGGTAATTGGCCCCAGCTTCCCCGCCTTGTTAGCCTTTTATGGAGCCAACAAGCCCCACCTTTTTTTTTTTTTTTTTTTTTTTCCCTCTAGCTCCAAGCCTCAGGGAAAATCCAGTCTGCCTGTGTTCAAATCCTGGCAGGGACACTTTTTAGCTGTGTAATCCTGAGCAAGTCACTCAGGATCTCGGAGGCTCGGTTAAAACGGGGAATAATGATCACATCTTCTTCACTCTCAGGGTCATGGCGCGCTTTCCATCAATCAATGTACATATAAAGCTTGAAACAGTGTCTGGAGTATAGTTAGGCCTCGGTAAATGTCAGCCACTATTAAAATATTGAGCATGAATGATGGGCCCATAACGGCTTGTGGTTGGGCTGACAGTTTTTTTTATTAAATCTTTATTGTTCAGATTACATTTGTTCCTCTTTTTTTCCCCCCATAACCCCCCTCCTCCCAGTTCCCGCCCCACCCTCCGCCCTCACTCCCCACCCACTGTCCTCATCCATAGGTGCACGATTTTTGTCCAGTCTCTTCCCGCATCTCCCATTCCCCTTTCCCCGCCAAGAATAGTCAGTCCATTCCCTTTCTATGTCCCTGATTCATTATAATCACCAGTTCATTCTGTACATCAGATTATTTATTCACTTGGTTCTTAGATTCACTTGTTGATAGATGCATGTTTGTTGTTCACAATTTGTATCTTTACCTTTTTCTTCTTCCTCTTCTTAAAGGATACCTTTCAGCATTTCGTATAATACTGGTTTAGTGGTGATGAACTCCTTTAGCTTTTCCTTATCTGTGAAGCTCTTTATCTGACCTTCAATTCTGAATGATAGCTTTGCTGGATAAAGTAATCTTGGTTGTAGGTTCTTGGTATTCATCACTTTGAATATTTCTTGCCATTCCCTTCTGGCCTGCCAAGTTTCTGTTGAGAAATCAGCTGACAGTCGTATGGGTATTCCCTTGTAGGTAATTGAGTCTCTTTCTCTTGCTGCTTTTAAGATTCTCTCTTTGTCTTTTGCTCTTGGCATTTTAATTATGATGTGTCTTGGTGTGGTCCTCTTTGGATTCCTTTTGTTTGGGGTTCTCTGCGCTTCTTGGACCTGTAAGTCCATTTCTTTCACCAGGTGGGGGAAGTTTTCTGCCATTATTTCTTCAAATAGGTTTTCAATATCTTGCTGTCTCTCATCTTCTGGCACCCCAATTATTCTGATGTTTGTACGCTTGAAGCTGTCCCAGAGGCTCCTTACACTATCTTCGTATTTTCGGATTCTTTTTTCATTTTGCTTTTCCGGTTGGGTGTTTTTTGCTTCTTCGCATTTCAAATCTTTGGCTTGATTCTTGCGCTCCTCTGGTCTGCTATTGGGTGTCTGTATAATATTCTTTATTTCAGTCCGTGTATGCTTAATTTCTAGTTGGTTCTTTATCATAGCATCGAGGGTCTCATTAGTTTTCGTGACTCTCTCCTCAAGTTTATTGACAGCTTCTAGCACATTTTTGCAAGCCCTCAAAATTGCGATTTTTAGCTCTATATCCTCCATTTCTGTCATGTTTTTTTGTCTCCGCATTTTTTATGCTTTCTTGGTGCACCCTCTAGTGGTCTTTGTGCGCAGTCTTGTTCTAGTTGAGCCTTGATTGTTGTAGTTAATACTAGAGGGATTTGACCACCAGGCCGACTGGCTGTGTGAATCAGCTGTGTCTGCCGCGGAAAACTTCTGTCCTCTGGGGAGGTGCTAATCTAGCCTTTGCCTGAGGCGATCCGGCAAATGGCTCTGCGCAGGGCTTGGGCGGGGCGGGCTCAACAGGGCGGGCGGAGGGAGCCGTTATGGTGCCCTCAGTCCTGTTCCCAGAGGCTCTGCTTCTCAGAACCCCCGGAACCGCTGCAAACCTCGGAGGGAAAGCTGCCTTCCAACTGATGCCAGACACTCCCGCTTCTCCCGTTTGGGTCCGAGTCCCCAGCGATTCGCCCGTATCTGGAGCTCAGAGTCTGAGACTCCCCCCTGACCGAAAACGACAACCGCGCTCTCAGCCACCAGCCCGCTTTGCGCGCGCACCTCCGCACCTGAGTATTTTCCACACTGCGCCTCCTCTGAGCCTCGGTGTGCTGTTATTTTTCCTTCTAGTTGAAGAGTCTCTCCTCAGCCAGCTTTCCTGTGGTTCTGGGTGATGTCCGTTCCGTCTTTTAGTTGTATTTTTGAAGTGGTTGTTTGCGGCAGCAATCTCCGGTGTTTACCTATGCCGCCATCTTGGTTTCCTGGGCTGACAGTTTTGTTCATTCACTCATTGAATGTATATTTGCTGACAGCCTAACATGTGCTGAGGATACAGCAGGGAGCAAAACCAACAAACCCCTCATGAAGTTTACCCAGTGGGTCAACGTGTTCTGTGAGGGCAGCTTTGTGCAGGCCTCACATCCCCCCTGGACCTCGGCTTCTCCATCTCTGTAATGAGGAGCTCTCATTGGTTCTCCATGTGCTGACAAAAGCGGGGGCCTGGGCAGAGGACTTTCTAACACTCAGCTGTCCCCTGTGGCACCAGCCTTCTCTAGGAAGAGAGCAGCCCGTGTAGGAGCAATCAACCAAAGCGTAAGCATCCTTGAAGGCCCCTCTGCGCCCTAAAATGTGAAAGAAGTCCAGGACATTATTAATTCATTATGAAATGATAGATTTAGAAGCACACACACGAAGAACTTCTGAAAAGTTCTTAAATTCAAGATAATAACAGTGTGGCCACAAGGTGGCACCGCTACCCAGGCCCAATCTTGGAAAAAAATTTTTTTAAAAAAATTATAGCAAAGTACAGATCATAATATAACAAACATTTATGACTCTATCACCCAGAATGAACAAATATTAACATTTTTGTCATGTTTTCTTTAGGTTTTTTTTTTAAATAATAAAGGCTATCAAACATGACAGCAAATGTTAAAGCAGAGGGACTAATATTCTATTCCACTATATTCCACGAATTTTTCAAAGCTAAAATTGACCAGGCAGCTCCTCCAGGTGAAATGGTTTAAATACTCATTCTTTCCACATCTTTACCACCCCACTTTCAGAGTAGCAGAAAACCAAAGAGGCTTTGCCAAGTTCACAGAGCAAGTAGCAGAATCAGGATTCCGAAGCCAGGTCACTGGGCTCCAAAATCTGCTGTACACAGCGCATCCGAGGTTCGCTGTTGGTCAACCAGGAATCCCTGGGCCGAAGGATTTACTGCGGAGCTGAATGCATTCCCATTGTTCAGATGGGAACACTGAGGCCAACAGCTAGCACTGACCCAGCACCATAAAACTTACCGATTACACCAGAGTCCCTCCCTCCCCTCAACAACGCCGTGAGGTGGGAGGAAGAAATTTCCCTCTACCTTTCTAGGTTCTTCCAGCCGGTCTAATAATCCAATTGACATGAGACGATTTGCAGACGAGAAAATAGTGACCCAAGGAGATGGAGCCGCTGGCCCTAAGTTCACAGAGCTGGTGAGCCACAGAAATGGGATCCCAGGTCTGGTCTTGTTTTATTTTTATTTTTAAAATATATTTCTTTATTGATTTCACAGAGGAAGAGAGAAGGAGAGAGAGATAGAAACATCAACGATGAGAGAGAATCATTGATCGGCTGCCTCCTGCACGCCCCCTACTGGGGATCGAGCCCGCATCCCAGGCATGGGCCCTTGGCCGTAATCGAACCCGGGACCCTTCAGTCCGCAGGCTGACGCTCTATCCACTGAGCCAAGCCGGCTAGGGCAAGGTCTGGTCTTTATGACATTCATCCCATGCTTGGTACACTACACCCTATTCCTCGGGGCCCGGCAGAAACTGTCGGGGTGGGGCAGGTGGTATTGGGAGGGACAACAGGCCTCCTCCTCCCTCTGCATCCACTGCTCTGTGGGTAAGATGGGGGCTCTGGGCAACAAATAGTGGCTCATGGGTGGGTGAAGGGTGCTGCAGGGTCTTAAGGTTTTTCTGCTTTGGGTGTTGAGCAGACCCAGGTTTCAGTTCCACTTGGGTGAGGTGCTCTGAACCCCAGTTTAACATCTCTCTCTCAGCATTGTTATAGAGTCAGAGCCATGCAGTAAAGACTTTGGGACATAGCAGGACTCACCTGTGGGAGTCGCCGCAGGATGCGCCTCCGTGGTATGCAAGTTCTTTTGAGCGGAAGGCAATCGAGACCCTCTGGGCTCAAGAGAAACTTGGACCTCTCCCTTAAAAAATGTAAATTTGGTGATAATACCAGTTATCACCAGAAATAACCTTTTTTTGACCTAGCTATATGGCAGGGCGAACATCTAATTACCGAACACCTGCTCTTCTTACCCATCTGTGAATGGCCCTCCTCCCTCCTGAAGCCTGAGCCCTAACCTCATCCTTAGCTCAGATGTCATAGACACTCCATTTTCCGTGTCTGTCTCTGAACCCTTATGTGTGTGGGGTTCCCGTATGTGCATATGTAATTAAATTTGGTTACGTTCTCTTGTTAATCTGCCCACGTCAATTTGATTATTAGACCAGCCGGAAGAACCTAGAAAGGTAGAGGGACATTTCTTCCTCCCGCACATGACTTCTCTGTTTCTATGGAGGGAAAAAGGTGTCCTCCCCACCCCCACCCCTGCCCACACTCTCTAGATTTCCTTTATATTGCTCTCTATTACCGTTTTTTTTCTCTAGCAAGTCTCCTTCCACTAGAATGTAAACTCCACAAAGCAGGAGTCTGTTTTGGTTACTGTGTGTCAATTGGTCGGAGCAGTATCTGACACCTACCAGGTGCTCAATAAATGTTTCACAACATTGATCTGTGAAGTCTGATAGACTCTTAGCCAGGGGAAGAGACACACAGTGGGGCCACACCCAACCCCTCCACCTGCAGTGACTCTACCCCCCACACCTGGCCTGGAGTTTCCCAAATCTGTTTACACTCTGCTACACTGGGAGTGCCGACAGGTCAGGGACTTCTTCCTTAGCCTGACGCTGTTGGGGAAAGGGATGGTTTCTGCTGGGAAGACCCCCAGGAGGAGGCAACCTGCTGTCTAACTAAGGGTCTGAAGGAAGTATTGGTATGTATCATCTATAGTGTGTACAATGTTATATGTGTACATATGTGTGCATGTGTGTGTACACCTACGGGTGTCAAGTGATCTGTCCAGTATCTTCCGCTGGGTTCCCGCTGACAGTGCGGTGACTGGGCTGCGGGTGGGCAGGCCCGCCTTGGGGGGCCGTCCTGGGTGAAGGCGGGCCACAGCCGCCTCCTCCGAGTTCTTCCTGCGCCGCTGCCACGTGTGGGTTGGGGAGGGGAGTGCGGGGCTGTGGAGGCTGCCACTGCTGGGGAGGGG